AGAGTTTATGTTAACTAAGGGTAAGAGTGGCTATAGGCAGAATACACTGCTTGACTCCCAGTATGTTCTTCCTTGCAGGACTAGGATTTCAGTTAGTCTAGGATTCCTTCATTAAGTTATCCTACATTATCCTCCCTTACTTCAAAAGAATGTGCCCTCGAGTTAGTCAGGTGAGAAGGACATTCATCGAAAGGATGATATTCAAATAGGTCAGCAACATTGAAGGTGAGAGATATAACCATGTTTGTAGGTGAGAGATATAACCATGTTTGTAGGGAGGTCCACTATATATGTGTTATTACTAATCTTTTGTAAAATCTAGAAAGGACCATGTTTTTTTTTTTTCGCTCAGCTTGGTATACGTTCCCAATGGCATTCATACTTTAAGCAGATACACCATTACAAGATCTCTTACCTGAAAAACTTTAGCTCACTATTTATGTTCTATTATTGCCTTGTACTTGGCATTAGATTCCTCTATATTCTTCCAAACTTCATCCTGAATCGCTTTAATTCGGTCAACAATATGCTCTACTGTTATACTTATATTAGGATGTTTAAGTAGAGGCACCAAATCTAAGGCATGACTTAGGGGTTGACAATACGCAACTTGGAATAGAGTCTTTCTAGTGGATTTGTTTAGCATGCTATTATAAGCAAATTCAGTCCGTGTCAAGGTAAGATCCTATTGTATAGGATTCTCCCTAAATAGGTAGTGGATTAAGTTTCCAAGAGTTCGATGTACCACTTTTGTTTGGCCATTAGTTTAAAGATGGCTCGTGCTGTTGAAGTTTAAGGATATGTCAAACTGCTGCCATAAAGTCCTCCAAAAATGACTTAAAAAATTAGTTTCCCAATCTAAAGTGATGGACTTAGAGACCTCGTGTAGACAAACAACTTCTTTGAAGAACAAGTTAGCAACATGCACAATATCAAAAAGTCTTTTTATATGCGATAAAGTGAGTCATTTTAGAGTATTTGTCCACCACCACAAAGATAGAATCGAATCCATGCTGAGTTCGTGAGAGTCCCAAAACAAAGTTCACAGAAAGATCTTCTTAAGAAGCTATTAGAATGGGCAGGGGCATGTATAGACCTATGTTTTGAGTTTGTCCTTTATCTGCTTAGCACATGGGGTAGCGTTTAACATGGCTACCGATATCCCGTTTCAACTAGGGCCAATAATACCTCTCTTTTATAAGGGCTACTATTTTATCATGACCCAAGTGCCCACCCAAGCCACCACCATGTAGCTCGTGGATTACCTACTCCCATAATGAGCTCTTGGGAATACACAATTGTTTGCCTTGAAATAAATACCCTTCTTAGTTATGCATTCCTTTATGAGAGAGTACTTGTTGACATTTTACCCAAACATTGCCAAAATCCTTATCTCCCACATATAATTCCTTAAGACAGTCAAAACCTGTAACCTTTACTCACATTGTGACAAGTAAGGATACCTTTCAACTTAGAGCATCAGCTACCTTATTTAGCTGATTTGCCTTATGTTATAGAGTGAATGTGAACCATTGTATGAAGGACACCTAACATGTATACATCCGGTTCATACTACTCTGGCTATTAATAAATTATAGTGTATGATGATCATTAAAAAGGATGAACTCCCTTTATATTAAGAAGTGCTCCCAAACTTTTAAAGCTCGGAACATAACCTATAGTTCAAGCTTATAGGTAGACCATTTCTAGCGAACTTCACTGAGTTTCTCACTGTAAAATGCAACAGGTTTGTCTTTTTGAGATAGGACAACACTAACGCCCATAATAGACGCATCACACTCCACTTCAAATAATTTATCAAAATCCAGCAGTGCTAAAACTAGGGCAGAAAACAACTTTTCTTTAATCAGTATGAAGCTTTGTTCTACTTTGGTTCCCTAATGGTATTTCCCCTTCTTCATGCATTTAATAATTGGTGCGATGATTTGGCTAAAATTTCTAACAAGCTATTGGTAGAATGTTGTAAGTCTATGGAAGCTACGTGCCTCAGTGATATTCTTTGGAGTAGGTCATTCCTAGATGACTCGAATCTTTTCTTCATTGACCTTAATTCCATTAATACTTACATCAAAACCTAAAAATAATAAATTACTGGTCATGAATTTGGATTTCATCAAATTAACATACAACTTATTCTGCTATAACACAATCAATACTTTTATAAAGTGCTAAAAATGGTCGGACTCACTCTAGCTATAAATCAATATATTGTCAAAGTATACTACAACAAGATTGCTAGTAAAGGGTTTAAGTACCTGATTCATTAGCCACATAAAGGTACTCAAGGTGTTGGTTAGTCCAAATAGCATTACTAACCATTCATATAAACCCTTTTTTGTTTTGAAGGCAATTTTTCATTTATTCCTGGGTCTAATTTGAATTTAATGGTACCCACTCTATAATCAATTTTCAAGGAGATTTTGGACCTTGACAACATGTCTAGCATATCCTCTAGACGAGGAATGGAAAATCAATACTTAACTGTGATTTTCTTATTAGCCCGATTGTCTATGCACATTCGCCAACTGCCATCTTTCTTTGGTACTAACAAGGCTAGCACCGCATAAGAGCTAATACTCTCCTAAATCAGCCCCTTTTTTTTTTATCAATTCTTCCACTTGTTCTTGTAGGATTTGATTCTCTTTCAAACTCATCTGATAATATGGTCGATTCAGCATACTAGCCCCTAGAATTAAATCAATCTGGTTTTGAATATTGTGCATAGGCAGCCTATCTGGTAATTCTAATGGTATGATTTCTTGAAATTCTGCTAGTAAAGGTTGCAACACTTATGAGATGTTGGGAGGTTCGGTTTGAATTCTTTTTCCCACTATTACTATAAAAATCTCACTTGACTCCTTGGTCTCCTTCATAAAGTTTCTCCTATTAACCAAAAAACTAGATTCTGTCTAGCCTTTGGTTCTATTGCAGAGAATTCCTCTCTTATGGGACCCAAAACGACCTTATATCCTCCCTTTGTAAAGATATATACATTATCATGCACCTTATATATGACATCGCTATTAAACTGTCATGATTTGCCTAGAATTATATGGCAGACATCCATTTTAACAATGTCACTAGCAACCTCGTCTAGGTAATTTTTTCCAATAAAGAATTGAATGTGGTAAATTTCAGTAACCTTTACTTCTACACCTTACCTAATCTAGCCAATTTGATATAGTGATGAATGTTTCTCCATTTTCAATCCTAGCTTTGATACCATGTTTTTTTTTATACTATATTCTCAGTAATGCCTCAATCAATAATAAAATCACATACTTTCAGTTTACAACACACCTGGTTTGAAATATGTTATGCCGCTGTGTTTTTTCTGTCTATTTTGATGCTAATAGAAGTTTTTGAACTATAAAGGAATGTGATAGTAACTCTCTATCATCCCCCCCCTCCAATTTCATCCTCTTTATAGGTTTACGTTGTTTCATCCTCTACCCCCTCTATCGTCAGTTCCATTTCTTATCATAGTCCAATCAGGTTTACTATACTGCGTCTTGGACACTGATTGGAATGATGTCCTGGTTGCCCGTATTTGTAGCATTTATTTGTATTTGGTCGAGCATAGGGATCCTTAGGTGCCTTTGGTGGCACAACCCCTACAGTCTTTGTTGGCGTCCCGTTATTGTTTGGCCCTTTAGTAGTACTGGTTGGTGATTGTTGATTCATTGGGAATTTCCTTTTGTCCATTGTAGCACAAGTAAGATCAAAAGAATTTCCCATCACAACTATCACCTTTAAATTATCAAGTTGCGCCTCTGCCTTTATAGTTAGATTAATGGCTTCAATTAAAGAATAAATGGTTTGCATTGAAACCTAATCTTGTATAGTTAAACATAGTCCCCCAACAAACCTAGTGACTTGTTGAGCATCCATTTCTAACAGGTTATTACATGAGGATAGCCTATGGAATTCCTTAATATATGCTTGTACTATTATGTTTCTCTATCTATAATCCTGGTATTGATGAAACAATATATACTCATAATCTGGTGGTAAATACCTGGATCGTAGAAGTCATCTTATCTTTGACCATGTTTGTACCATTCCTTTTCTTTGTTGTATCCATGTGAGTTGCAGTTGCTCCTATCAAGCAAAGGCTCCTCTCATTAATCTATAAGCAACTAACTTCACTTTTTTATCCTTAAGGATTTCCATGTAATCAAAGAACCTCTCCATTATTGTCAGCCAATTAAGAAACCCTTTAATTTGAAGCTAACCATTAAAACTGGGCAAATCCATTTTCATTCGAAAAGTTTATGGTCCTCGCCTTCCCATATTGCGATGTCCTTATCGATTGTGTCAAAACATATGTTTGACATATTCCTTATCATCACTTAGTTCATCCTTATAGGCTAGCTGCCTACGTGGAATTGGATGACATTAACAAGCATGGTCAATCCTTTCTCTATAATTCTTGCAACCCAACTCACCTTTATGCCGTTGGTTATTTCCTGATGTTAGCCTAGTAGGAACTCATGTTCATTTCATATGTTCGCCATCTGAACAAGTTAAACTTGTCATAATACCAACTAACGTAGCAGAAAAGTAACAACAAAAAGGATCGCTACCCTTTTTTTTTTAATTTGTTTGAATCCACGAGTAATGATAAAATACTCGAATCCATGAGTAACAGAGTAACGTTTTTTAAAGAAATTCTTATTCAAAATCAAGTATGACTATAAAGAGTAGGGTATACTTGTATTTATACGGTACCAATCCTAATTCTAATAAGAGAATTACTTACATAAATAAATAGCAAAACAAGAAAATTAAAAAAATTTCTACCAGGCATATAAATCAAAGTCCTAAATTTAAGTAACAACATTAGCAAAATAAGAAGCCCAATATAGGAGTCTATGTTAAATAAAGGAAAGAGGGACCATAGACAAAATACACTAAGAAGCCCAATATAGGAGTCTATGTTAAATAAAGGAAAGAGGGACCATAGACAAAATACACTAAGAAGCCCAATATAGGAGTCTATGTTAAATAAAGGAAAGAGGGACCATAGACAAAATACACTACTTAGCTCCCAATGTGTTTTTCCTCGTAGAACTAGGATTCTAATCGATATAGGATTCCTTCATTAAGCTGTTCTACGTCATATATTTGAAGTTTTCAATTGGTTTAAGTAAAAATAATTTGTAATAAATTTATATATGTTAACAAACTGTAATTTAAATTTCATAAAGAAAATTTTCTTATATTTTCTTTTTTTCCAATTTGATATCAATGCTTTAATTTTTGTTTATCCGTGCATATATATATATATGTGTGTGTGTGTGTGTGTGTGTGTGTGTGTGTTATAATTTTTTATTGGATGGAAAAATATTATGAGCCAAGACTTAAATGTATGGACATATAATCAATCCACGTGCCTTAACTATGGAATTGATTTTATTGTCACGTGTCTGATCCACACTTGCCACACAAATCACTAATGTCCGTGCGACAATCATTCATCCATACCTTATCCATTGGCATCATGGATACCTTTACAATTACTTTTTTTTATTATTATTAAATAAATAAATAAAACTAGTGTTCGCGTATAAATAGCAATAATAATAAAAATAAATAAATTCCTCTGCGCAGGCCTACATTGTGTTATCTATATTATTCTTTTCACATATAAAAAAAATTATCATGTGAGAGATTATAAAACAGTTTTTCTCACTCTATCCATATTGTTTCTTAATTATTTTTAAATGAAATTATGATTATAAAAGTAGAAATATAATTATACATATTTGTAAATCTTGTTCTTAAAAATAAAAAAAAGTCTAATGATCATTATTATAATGAGGTGTTCTAAACCTTTTCTAATAATTATAGAAATTAACAAGAATAAAATTGTATGATAATAAATCTTTAATTTTCCAACAAAGTTTCTAAATAAATATGCATAAGGAAAAATATATATGTAAGTGAGAAAAGTTATCTAATGAAACTTATTTCAAAGTTTTTTATAAGAAAAAAAAAGGAAAGAAAAATTACAAATTACAAATTCATATTAATATTAATATTTTATATAAAAAATAGGATAAAAATGACCTTAAAAAGAAAGAAAGAAAACTGAAATTGAACGTCTTATCCTAAGAAAATATAATAGAAGCGATTCGTCATTTATCTTTTAAAAAATAAACTTCTGTTTACTTTTCTTTAAGATAATATTTCTCTGTGCATTCTCTTTTAGTCACATAAATGTTGGACTCCATTAATAATAAAAGAAGCCATAAATGAGAGAAAATATATTACAAGTTGGGAGGACGAAATATGCCATCCCCCGACGGGACACCAGCTAGGTGGGTTATTGTACTGGAAAATTATGATTAGAAGTTGAAAGAAGTGTCACGTTAAATTAGACAATAAAACTTTATATAGAAAACTAGTTCGTTTCCCGTCTTATCGTTGCTATAGGGCAGGCCAAGATTTATTAAAATATAAAGAATTAATATCTAAATAGCATAATATTTTTTATATTATCATTAACTTGATGCTTCACTCAATATTATTTTTAAATTAAATTATATAAAAATAATTTAATAAGTTCTCATCAATTAAACAAGTTTAAATTAAAAAAAACATATTATATTAATTCTCATTAACTTATTAAATTTATAACCTGAAATATTATTTAGTAAAATTAATTTTTTATTTTATTATATCATAATAAATATCATTAATTCACTATTAAATATTAAAATTAAATAAAAACTTCATTTTAAAATATATAATAGATAAAAAAAAACTTAAATAACTAATAAAAAAAACCCTGATCTAGTATGAAAAGCTAAGGTGTATCATCCATTTTTTTTTCTTCTTTTTTCTTCTTTTTCTTCTTCTAGGCAGCTAAGTTACACCACAAAGTTATTATATGAAATAATTTAAGAATATATATTAAAATTGTTTATATGAACTGTTAAATCAATCCAATTTCTTTTAGCTGTGTTTATAATTATAATAATATACCGCGTGGAAGAGATCTTTTATTGTTTCCATAATGGCAACATATATCTTCTCATTATCTCTTTGAAATGGAGAAGAAAGATAGATACCCACTTTGAATGAGATGTTTTCTTATTACCTTTTGTTTTCATCCTCCCATCCCATCGCGAGGAGTCATCTTCAATGCAAATCAACCCTTCTTTTACACCATTAAAAAACCAGAAACCACCATTTTTATAAAATCAGAGAGCTCTACCTACCATGGAGATGATTGTCCCTTTCCATCAATTTGGTTTAAGTCGATGATGGTTTCATTAATTGGCGAATTCTTTATACTAAGAATAAAAACTTCTTGTCGACTGAATAATATTTGTTCACCATAAAATTAGAAAAAAAAAGAAAAAGAAAAAAGAGAGAGGCTAAAATCTATAATAACCAAAATTTGACCCTTGTTTCTTTTCAATAATAATAATAATAATCATAAATATCTCTTCAATTTTAATTATTATTCAATTGCGTTTAATTTTCATATTAAGGTCCCTAATTCAAGGGAACGATACTATATTTTATTTTACCCATCTTTTAATTTTAGATTTTGATGTATCGTAGGCTTAATATACTTTTTTAATATAATTCTAATAATAAGATAATAAATCTCATCATGGTATAATCAAAATTAAATTTAAGTCTATTTTATGTGTCTTTTATTTTTGATATCAATGTAAGTTTAATAATTTTTATTTCAAAATAAGAATGTGTTTAAAATTATGTTAACTAACTTTCATTATGATTTTGCTAAATTAACCATGTTTTTACTAAGACTTGTTTTTTAATAGATAGATTGATAAGGAGGATGTCAATTTAATCTGAACCTAATAAATATTAATTTGATCCAACTTAAATGGATAATTTTTTATGAATAATTTTTTTATCCGATGAGTAATAAATAAGATATGAATGATGTCAAACTCGATCAAAAGACCAATACAGTCTAATATATATATATATATATATATATATAAAAGTAGATTATTTATATTTTTTAATTAATATAATATATACATATATTAATATTGGCATAATAGACACATATATGTATCATATATATAAAAGATTTATAATTTTATCATTTAATACCCCCACACACATTCTATTTAATTTTTTTATTAAATTATAAATTATTTTTATAAAATGGATATTCATTTGGACTGAACAAGGTATAAATATCTAAGTTTTTTTAACCACTAAGTAATGAGTAGAGTATGGATATAAAAAATACCTAACCCATGGGTGCTCATTTTCATCCCAATTAACAAGTCTTTATTTCTAAGGACTAATATTCAATAATGTATAAAATAATTAAATCAACAAGTCACCTATTTTTAAGATTGATAATTAGAATTTGCTAAGAAATGATAAAATATTATAAGTAATCTTAGGAGATAATTAAATATTTTATGTCAATTAAAAACATAATAGATTTAAGAGAAAAATACATAGTAAAGATGAACTTTCATTTGAAAGAACACAATAAAAATGACATTGATCTCCTCTTCAATATAACTAACCCCTTAACCAAATTCTTTAAGATCAATGTTGTTATAAGATTCCTACTGTCCTTTATTTACTAGATGATAACTCTATTTTTAAATTGTATATATAATTTAGGTGAATGTCATTAATGTCATGGTGTGACAAAATTAATTGACAAAATCAATAGTCAACAATAAGATGTATCAAAAAAAGCAACTAACAATAAAGATAAGTTATTGATCAAAAGATCAAGTTTCTAGTATTTTTATAAGTTTTTAGTAGATTATATTGGAACATATTATAAATTAGTGAGGAAACGTGTGATTTTTAGGAAAAAGATGTGCTGGCAAGAATTCAAATTTTATTAGAATTTATAATGTAAGCTTTTTATTTGTTATAAGCAGACTATATATGATTAAGATTAAAATTTCACAAGTAACTCAAACTTCGTAACAATATAAAAATACCTTTAAGTTACTAGAAATGATTGGCAACTCATATATGCAAATATTATTTACTAGTTTTTTTTTTGTTGTAGTTTATCTCTTTCATTCAATGCTTTCCTTTATACATTTTTTTTTTTGCCTTGTTGTTTATTTCTTTAGTATTACATATGATTATTAACCCTACCAAGGTTTATAAGTAGACTCCTACACTTTATTTGATTTGCAAAGTTGTTATCTGATTAGTACTTAAAAATATATTTTTATCAAGATTTTTTATTATCATTTTGCACTTGAAGTATCAATAACTCCTTAACTAAAACATGTTTTATAATAACATATATGATAATATAAGATACCTTTAATTTGTGATAAATATTCATTTTAAATACAGGTTTATCACATAAATGAAAGGATTGATTGATGAGTTTAAAAACTGAAATTGAAAGGGCAAAGAGATGGTCAAACTTAGAAAAGAGATATTGGTGCAGTCCAAACCGGAATACTGTTCGATAATTAGGTTATATCTAGAGCTGTTGATCTCGGATTTAGGTCTACTTTGTATGGATGGAAAGGTAAGAGATAGACCTACAACTTTCATATGGAGCCCAAGATTTAAAAACATCACTTTCAAGTCCAAATTATAGCAACAATAAAGAAGTCTGAATCTGTCCTGCAACCCAAATACTATTTAGTGTTTGGCCCATATCTGGAGTTCTAGAAGTCCAAATGACCTCCATTTTTTTTTCTGGAAAGCTAAGATAATTTCCTACAACTTTTATGTTTTAGGTGGTTCCAATTCTGACGTTATCAATGATATTTTGGGCAAACAAGAAAAGATAAGGATT